CGTAAGTTTACCTCCGTAGGAAGCATGACATGTTGAATTGTCAATCAATGAACAAATAGGCGTACGCGAAAGTATGACCACAGCTCTGTGTTGGTTCAGGGGAGTACAGGAAACGGAGGGCGTCATCGTTTCATTCATACTGAAGTTTGATTGGTCGCTTTGTCCGTGCACACGCGAGCGTGGGGGCGTGGTTTAGTGCCGTTGGATTAGATTGGCATGACTAGGGCTAGGGTTGTGATAAAATGCTAGACACAAAGCGGGAAGAGTTGAAACGGTAAATTGCGTGGAATTAATGCGGAGTTCAATGAATTATTACTAATTGAATTAACTTTACTACAGCACCTGTTTTATTTAAGGTAAATAACGAGATAGTTTGCAGGCTTTTTCTTTCTTTTTTTTTTTTTTTTTTTTTTTTTTTTTTTTTTTTTTTTTTTTTTTTTTTTGAGATGTGCGAGAAGAAAATTTTCAACTTAACTAGGAAATCGACCACGAGTTTCGTATTTAAAAAAAAAAAAAAAATATTTTTTTTATCCAGATCGAGATCTAGAATCTAACTTTTTTTTAAAGTTATAGAAATAAGCCTGATTGATTTTCCAAACTCTCGTTTTCTTGTCAACCGCCCCCCCCCCCCCATTGAACGACAAATAATTTACAAACATAAAATATATTTGTTTGCGCCCTCCCGGAATATTTTAATCCTCCAGAAAAGTCTGAAAGAATACCGTACTAGAGACCAGAGGCGTAGCGGCCTTTCCCGGCGCCCGGGGACAAATTTTCAAATTGCACCCCTCTCAAACTTTCGATTTAAATCCCCCCCCCCCTCAAACTTTCAATTTGCCCCCCCCCCCCTCTCAAACTATTTATAATGCAAAAATGCAGTAAAAATGACATTTTAATTTGTTTTTACAACCCATTTTGACGCCCTAAGGTCGGCGCCCGGGGACATATGTACCCCCCCCTGCCTCCCCACCATCGCTACTCCTCTGCTAGAGAAATCTAGTGACATTTCGGACATCTCAAAAGATTTAAATCTAGATTTCTTATTTTTCTCAGTTGGGATCTATGCAGTGGCGTAGCGAGGTCGGGTGTCACCCGGTGCGGCACTTAATGGTGTCACCCCCCCCCCCCCCAGAGGCGTAGCGACCCTTCCCGGACAAACTTTCAAATTTTCGATTTGCACCCCCCCCCCCTCAAACTTTCGATTTGCACCCCCCCTTCGAACTTTCGATTTGCACCCCCCCCCCCTCGAACTTTAGATTTGCACCCCCTCAAGTTTTTCTCTATATATTTTGCTATTTTTTGCCTTGGTGTCAGTCACCCCCCTAAATGGTGTCACCCGGTGCGGTCCGCACCCCCCCCCCCTCGCTACGCCCCTGGATCTACGTCAAATTTCATAAAGAAACTTGCCTTTATGCCGTTTGCTTGGCGGACACTGATAAAATATATTTTCTATATAAATTTCATTTCTTTTTAGGAGTAGGGGGGGGGGGGGAGGCTAAGCGCGCCCCCCCCCCCATGTCTGGAAGAAACACTGCACACAAAAGCGATCAACGCATCTGAAATAAACTTCAAGAAACGTTTCCTCTTTTTAAAGTCTAGTCGCGTCAGTGTAATCATTCATCGTTTAATGCTTTTTTAAAAAAAAAATTACAACTAGATTATTCTTACTTGTCAGTGAGAGGTCACTTCCCCCGCTGTATAATAAAAAAAATGTTAAAAAGATGATGTGTTTTAATTTAATAGATCTATACAACGAAAAACATAAAAAAAAAAAAAAAACTAGTGGGCCTATAGATCAACTTACAAAGTTTAAAAAGAAAAAAGTTGTAAGCAGAGGCGTAGCGACCCTTCCCGGCGCCCGGGGACAAACTTTTCGATTTGCACCCCCCCCCCTCGAGATTTTTATTTACACCCCCCCCCCCTCAAACTTTCGATTTGCACCCCCTCAACCTTTCAATCTATTTTTCCAAACCATTTTGGCGCCCCCTAAGCTCGGCGCCCGGGGACATATGTCCCCCCCCCCCGCTTCCCCCTCGCTACGCTACTTGTTGTAAGGGAGTTAACTGAGAAAATAGCTAAGAAAGGTTTCGTTTTTTCCGATTATCTACCCTACTTTGCATTTCAGCCTCAGTTATAATTATAAATAATACAAACGCAGCTTCCGAGCTGTAATATAAAATAGTTTTAAAAATAAACTACTAGCCGTACTTTTATGTAAGGTTAGAGCTAGATTAAGCTGTAAAAAAATAGTTAAAATTTGGGTTCCTGTCAATTTAAAGTACCTCTTGTAGTCTATCATTATAACCATTATCATTGTCTACGATTTTAAATAGGTTAGCATTAGCGGAAGTCACTTTTCTATTATTTTTTTTAAAACCGATGTTATAATATTCACTTTTCTTTTTAAAAATACTATCTTGCAAGTACGAAAACGAGACGTTATTGACCTATTTACAAACCCTATAGTTAGCACGAAATATATTAATTAGTTCAGATGTTTTCAGATCAGACATTTCATGTACCGTTCTGCACCGCGCACAAAAGTGATTTGAACAAGCGCGGACCCAGCTGTCTTTGTTTACAAACATGTTTCTCACAGGCGGAAATCTCTAGTGAGTATTTCCGGGAATTTGTGTGTTTACATTGTAATGGTTAATGATGTTGTTGTGTAAGCGGGTTGATTAGAAATGTTAGAGTTATAATTTTTACGAACTTTTTTATAACTTGCTAGATCTAGATACTAACGATAATCTTACACTTTACCGACACTGTAGACCTAGATCTATATAGCAGTGAAGTAGACCTTTATAGTAGTAGTCATATATAGTAGTAGACCTATATAGTAGTACTCCTATATAGTAGTAGACCTATATAGTATTAGACCTATATAGTAGTAGACCTATATAATAGTAGACGAATATAGTAGTATACCTATATAGCAGTAGACCTATATAGTAGTAGACATATATAGCAGTAGACCATATAGTAGTAGACCTATATAGTAGTAGACCTGTATAGTAGTAGACCTGTATAGTAGTAGACCTATATAGTATTAGACCTATATAGTAGTAGACCTATATAGCAGTAGACTTATATGGTAGTATAACTATAATATTGTAGTAGACCTATATAGTAGTAGATCTATATAGTAGTAGACCTGTATAGTAGTAGATCTATATAGTAGTAGACCTATATAGTAGTAGACCTATATAGTAGTAGACCTATATAGTAGTAGACCTTTATAGTAGTAGTCATATATAATAGTAGACCTATATAGTAGTAGACCTATATAGTAGTAGACCTATATAGTAGTAGACCTTTATAGTAGTAGACCTATATAGTAGTAGACCTATATAGTAGTATACCTATATAGTAGTAGACATATATAGTAGTAGACATATATAGTAGTAGGCATATATAGTAGTAGACCTATAAAGTAGTATACCTATATAGTAGTAGACCTATATAGTAGTAGACCTATATAGTAGTAGGCCTATATAGTAGTAGACCAATATAATAGTAGACCTATAAAGTAGTATTCATATATAGTAGTAGACCTATATAGTAGTAGACCTATATAGTAGTAGACCTATATAGTAGTAGACCAATATAGCAGTAGACCATATAGTAGTAGACCTATATAGTAGTAGACCTATATAGTAGTAGACCTATATAGTAGTAGACCTATATAGTAGTAGACCATATAGTAGAAGACCTATATAGTAGTATATAATAATAATATGGATGGGTTGACTGTTGTCAACAATGTAATACTAACGGCTAAAGTAAAAGTATTAGGAATGGACGGTGTGGTAGAATGATAGAGCTTTCGACAGCTAGTTCGAATCTCCATATGCCGAAGCAAAGAAACATGTACTTATTCTGAAAAGGAAATTTTTCTTTACTCAAAAGTATTTAGAATCTATGATACAAAATTGTTGAATGCTGAAGTTTTTTTTTGATAATCTGGAAGTGGAGTAAAGTACCACTTAAGTTGAAATAACTAAGACGTTGATGGAAAGTAAATCTTAGGGATCTAATGCTAAGTTTGAAATGTTATCCACCAAACTGAACCGGTACTCGTCATGTAGTTTGATGGAGCACATTTTTATTTCAGAAATGTTTTAAATTTATATGCTTATACAGTCATTTCGTTTAAGTAAATATAAGAACATTATTTCTATTAATCTTTTATTAATTTTTCAGACTATAAATCCATTCTGTTATTTTTCAATACTTTTTTTCATTTTTATTTCAAATTAATGATACATAATTTATTCTTATTTCAAATTAATGATACATAATTTATTTTCATCTACAGCTCACGGCAAAGTTCTCAAACAGTTTTCTTTCTCATCTCCTTCGTCGTTTTGTTGATATTCTTGTCCTACAGCGTCAGGTCCTACGGCCACTTCAAGCTACAGACAACAGCATCCGGCACCATAGACGAAAACCACACGACGTTGTCTAAAGACCTGCATCTTAAACCCAAGACGGCTGATCTTAACAGTACGTCACCGGTGAAGCCTGTTCAAGATTCCGAATTGAAAATAGTAACGCTTGCAACAAACAGAAATACGAATAATAAGTCAAAGAGGATAGAAGATGTATATGAGGTCAAGGAGGGTGAATCAAGGAAAATCGACTACAAAAATATTAGTGTTAAAAGTTCAAGTAAAATAGATAATTTCGACATTACGACTCGAAAATCAAGTAAAATCGTTAACAATAACATTGGAAGATTACGAAAAATCGATAATATCGACCACAGGAATCGAAGTTCAAGTAAAATAGACAGAAACGTTAACACTATTATTACCACTAATACCTCAACGACTACCTCTATACGTCCTACATCTTCACTAAACGCCAGCAGGCACATCAACAGCAACATAGGACCTTGCGTTGAATCCACGTACGTCCGCTGCGGCGAAGTCCCACACCCCAACACGACCAGCAATAAAACGTTCCGTGTCGCGGTGATCAGGAAGAACGACTGGATGACCGATGCCCTCTTCGACTTCTCCAAATGCCACTACAACAACTGTCGCTACGACGGGCTTGACCTCAGCGAGCAGACGGATGTGGTGCTGGTCAACGTGGACTGGATCACGGACGACTCGCTGCCCAAGAGAAGGTGGCCGCACCAGCTGTATGCGGCAATGACGTGGGAGGCACCGCCCAATACCAGAGCCGGATTTCTGTCCAGTCAGTAGCCAGGTTTTTATAACGGTTCAACGTGGCAGTAATTACATTTATAGAGTCCTTTGCTAGTGGCAATAGACCCCCCCCCCCAACTAACACATTAAAGTCTGTTTAAGGTACTGTCAGTTGTAAACTTTTTATAGCGGTTTAGCGTGGTAATAGTAATACACATACTTGTTTAGTCTCTGTCTCTGTAATTTCCTTCCTCACACACATTTCTGTAATCTCTGTAATTTATTCCCCCCAACATACCTGTGTTCTTCTTCTTCTTCTTCGTTCTTAATTTTTGATTATGGTGGAGGAATTAGACAACAAGTCCAACTTCATGGACAAACCGGACTGTGGTTTCCAGTTTGTCAGGTGTCCCATATAATTTTTCCCTGAGTGGGGTGGGCTGGGGCCAGTGTCTGCCTCTTGCCTGGCTATACAGAGTACAATCCTGCATACCTGTGTAATATCTGTAACTTCCTCCATTCATTACACCTGTGTAATCTGTGTAATTTCCTCCCTCCCACATACTTGTGTAATCTCTTTAATTTCCTCCTTCACACATTTGTGTAATTTCTGTAATTTATTTCCCTACACATTTATGTAATCTCTGTAATTTCCTCCCTTTATTACACATTTGTAATCTCTCAGATGCCAACTTATCATGGAACTTTGCCTTCAACCTTACCTTCACGTACAGGAGAGATGCCGATATATTTTTACCTTACGGGATTCTGGAGTTCAAGCCGCTTGCAAAGAATGTGCAACCTAACTATTGTAGGTATAAAATATTTGATGGATAAAAGAATAGATAGATGGATTAATGGGCGGATTAACGGATTAACGGATGAATGGATTAATGTTGTTGTGGTTTGAAGAATAAAATAATACGGATACATTGATGGATGAATTATTGGAGATATTTTTAAATGAATAGCATTCAAGGTGAATGGATGGAATAATGATTGGAAATATGTCTGGAAGGAAGAACAATTAGATAAATAGATACAAGAAGAAAAAATAATGGATGCACGTTTCGGTGAATGGATTAAAAACATAGAAAAGATATAAAAATGCATAGATTTATGAATAAATTATTGGAGGAATAAACGGAACACTAGGTATCAAATTGGATATATAATAAATTTTTAGAAAGATATATGATTTTAAGGAATAAATAGTAATTTTACTTGTTTGAGCTATTTGATCGTGTCTTTATAAGTAATCTTTTGGTCACCCCTTATTTTTAGAAAATATGTATATATATATATATATATATATATATATATATATATATATATATATATATATATATATATATATATATATATATATATATATATACATATAGGAATGTATAAAGATAGGTAGTGAAATGTGAGTGTGAAAGAATGTATGGAATAAATCTAAATATTTACATTTTAAGTAATCATGTCTATATAATGTATTTGTTTGGTACTATTGATATTGTCAAGTGTAGCTAATCAGACCCCACCCCACGTTCTCATTGTGTTTCCTCTCAGACGAGATTGCCAAGAGAAAAACTCGCTTTTCAGCCTGGTTGGTCAGCAACTGTGAGACCAATTCCAAGAGAGAGGACTACATCGACCAGATGCAGGTCTTTCTGGATGTTTGAAATGGTCGGGTGGTAGAGCTCACGAGTGCTTACACGCAGAGTTTCTTCCAGGCATCTCTTTTACCGCTCCCCCCGAACAAAATGAAATTTATATAATTTATATAGAAAATATATACTTTTAACAGTGTCCGCCCCCCCCCCCCCGAAGAAAGTCTACCGCCCCCACCCCCCCCCCGAAAATTTCAAGTGCCCTCCGGAGAAAAAAGTCTGGAAGAAACACTGCTTACACGACAGTCTCGAGTTCGGATCCCGTGTGTGTGTGTGTGTCTGTGTCTGTGTCTATATGTGTGTGTGTGTCTATGCCTGTGTGTGTCTGTGTGTGTGTCTAGATGAGCATTGATCTCTGAGATGGTAAGATTTAGGTTTATGTCTACCTGTGTGTGTGTGTGTTTGTGTGTGTGTGTGTGTGTGTGTGTGTGTGTGTGTGTGTGTGTGTGTGTGTAGATGAGCATTGAACTCTGAGTTTGTAATATTTTGGTTTATGTCTATTTCTGAAGTTATACCTTTTTTAGACCTGTCAATAAGTCAGATGAAGTTGATTTTTTGACCACTGCAAATAAAGTCGTAACTAAGAGCTATATTGCCTACACATCTTTATTGTGATTCTTGTTGGTTAGGCGCTAATGAATGCTGGGATGAACCAAAATTTGTACCTCGAAACTTTTGGGATAGCATTTTTGACACGTCGACTTTCTTCTCCAGGGGGGGGGGGGGGGGGAAGGTTGACTAAAATTTTCGGGGCGGGGGAACGACACACTAATAAAAGTATATATTTACATTTTGTTCGGGGGAAGGGGGGCGGTAGACGTTTTTTCTCCCGAAGAGATGCCTGGAAGGAACTCTGGACTTGTTCTGTTGGAATAGATTTCCTTGAGCACCAACCAAACCACATTTTTATTTTTATTTCCCCAGAAATATGTAGTCGTCGACACGTATGGTGGCTGCGGACGCCCGTGTAAAAAAGACTACTGCGCCTCCGTCTTCACCGACTACAAATTTTACCTGGCTTTTGAGAACTCCATCTGCCATGACTACGTTACAGAGAAGTTCTTCAAAGTCTTTCGTCACGACCTCCATATCGTGCCTGTAGTCCGAGGCGGGATCGATTACAAAAAATATTTCCCCCATGACGTGTTCATAGACGCTGCTGATTTCAAATCCCCGCGGGACCTTGCTATTTATTTAAAAGATCTTGGTAAAGATTTGAAGAGGTACAGTGGATACCTTGAGAGGATTGATCAGTACGTCTGGGGGCAGAGACCTACGGCTGGGTGTGTCGTGTGCGAGTTTCTGCACACGAAGGCGATGGGGAGAAAGATCTACAATATGACACGGTGGATGGGGGATGGACAGTGTGTTCTGTAGCTTCTCACAGCGGAGTTGGAGAGTGCGGGCCCGTGGTATGTGTGTGTGTGGGGGGGGGGGGTGCGCGTGACACCATTCAGGTAGTGACACCATAACGAAAAAAATAAAAACAAAAAAATTACATGAAAAAAATCAGCATTTTCAATTATTTTATTAAATTGTTAAAACGTTTATGTATGTTTATGACACTACTTCGAGGAGAGGTTGACACCAAATTAACTATATTTGAGTACATCGCCGGCTGAAGACAGGTGACACTATGGGTTACCGTACTTGACACGACAAATTAGTCATTTGTAATTATATTTGTATGTGAAAAAATTATGTTTTTTCTCTTATTGTCTAGATAACATAGTGTAAGATAAATCGCGCGTATTACAATACAATAGTTTTACTGATTGTCTATTGACTTTAAGAAATAAAATAAACACACTGGCCTTACTTCAATCAGCTTTGCGGCATACAAACAACAGGAATTTAATTTCGATTTTTCATTCGGAATTTTAAAAAAATTGTATTTTAGTTTTGTGATGTGTTTTTAGCCAATGTGCGTACTGACCGGCTAATTAGTGAAGTGACAAACTTTGTGTTTTGATTCTTACACATATGAAACGATATATATATATATATATATATATATATATATATATATATATATATATATATATATATATATATATATATATATATATATAATATATATATATATATATATATATATATATATATATATATATATATATATATATATATATTTATTTTTACATATATATATATATATATATATATATATATATATATATATATATATATATATATATATATATGTTTGTGTGTGTGTTCGAGTGTGTATGTATATATATATGTATATATAAATATGTGTTTATGAATATATATTTCTTTTATTAATTTTGAATCTGAAGAACTGTGTGATTATGGGAGTGCTCTTAATAGCAGATTTACAATGCAGTTTAGTACTTCGAACAAAATATTCGACGGAAAGTATTCTTGAACTTGGAGCTCATTGCATAAAAAACGAACAGGTGAACAGTAGAGTTGACGAAATCAAGCAGGTAAGCGAGGTACACGATAATCCAATACGGGGTTTTGATGAAGTTGCCGTTGTAGTATTGGACATTGAGCATCTTAGCGATGTAGTTGGTCACTCTTGGGATGAGGTTTAGGATGTAGATGTAGATTATCACTAGCAGCATCTTGAGTACTTGCTTCTCTTTCTTATCAAGAGGAGGTTGAAACTTGATATAATTTGATACTTGATTACTACGACATGATGTAGATTTGTGTAGGTGGTACCAGATGATTAGTGTACTGGTCACCATGATGGTTAGGCTTAGGGTCGGGTACAAGAACCCTAAGGGGGCGCTGGCTTCCACGTATCTAGCACCGTAGGTTCTGTAGAACTCTGTGACCTGATTCACGAAGACAAATGTTTTTGAATTTTCGTTGTAAACCCAAGCCGGCTCGTAGATGAAAAATAATGGGAATAAAGAAGAAAAAACGACGATGGAGATTATCGCACACACTGCAATTGTTACTTTAACCGTGATGATGAATTTAACCTGTAGGGGCATACCTACGCACAAACATCTCTCTAGCGCGATATATGCCCCGAGTAAATACGAAATATTACTGCTAATGTTGTGTATATAGGATAGTTTGAACAGAGTGTAGTTCTGCCAGACTGTCGCGAATGTTGGAGAAAAGAAAGATATCGGTCCGTGGAGGCGTTGGCAGGCACCAAACGTGACTCGGAGCAGATCCCAGAAGGCGATGAAGGTCATGGAAATGTTGACCGTGTCTTTGAATCCTTGTTTGGTGAAGACGCAGATTTCGATGATGTTAGCGACGATGCCGATGAGACAGACGAGCAGGTTCACCCATTGGTCGATGATGATCTCCAGCAAATCTGGCCCCACCCCCTGCCAAACCGTGACCTTGAGAGTCGTCTGCGAGCCACTGGTGTTCTGATTTCCGGTTGATGGGACGAGTGTTGGTGTATCCATGGTGATTTTTCAAACAAAAATTTCACCTGCCTTCTCGACGAAAGATTTTACGCTGATTAATTGAAAACAAATAATGTAATTTGGAATTAATAATAAAAAATCACTGTTCTTGTATAATTATATCCTTAGTGAACTCACACATCAAAATACATTAATTTTCTATTTAATTATTTCAGTCTCTGGAATTAAGAAAAAAAAACAATTAAGAAATAATGAAGGTATGAAAAACGAATTGGTCCATAAACTAATTCCCGAAAGGCTTTGGTATGCATGAAAAGCTTCTAATTAAGGAAGATGTGAGATAACAATTACATTTTTCTTTGAGATTAATTACAAATAATTAAAGATCTTTAACTTCGTGTTTTCAATGTCTTGCATAGTTTAAAGAAAAACATGCTAAATTGTGAAACAGCACTAAATTAAATAAACGAATCTCAAGTTTCGGTTATGATTTTAAAATCGGTTTTCATTTAAAGAAACAAAGTATAAAGGTAATCACATTGTAACGATCCAGTGTGACGCACCAATTATTTTAATAATGCAACTCATTTTAAGACAAAAAAAAAAAGGTCGTACACATCGTTTTCCTTATAATTTATTCTTTTATTATTCCATTTCTACTATAACTGCTTAAGGATGGATTGTCAAATTTTATGCATCCAATTAAAAAAAATTCTCAACGGAAAGATCACATTATGTATGTTCTTAAACCGTTTTTATTTATAGAACGCAGCTGAAAAAAAAAATTTAATTCCAATATCTCTCTACGCGCTATGCAGAGTTTCAATATTTTTTTAGTGTGTGAACGTGATTAAATAAGTTAAAGAAAAAGGTATTTACTTATAAAGCACATTTAATTTGCTCTCTCTAAGTATGTTTGTATTATGATAGCGTACCTTTCTACAGAAGAATATTTATCTTATTAAATTTATCTTTTTTAAAAAAAATAATGTGTATATTATAACAATATGTAATACGCTATATTATTGTAATCTGCACAAAAGCCATCCTCGTATGTTAAACATGGCGTTGTTTATCTTGTTCTGTTGTCAAAACATTGTATCACATTCAATAGTAAAACACGGGTATACAAAAATAACTATATTAGTATATTGTATACAGTGTGCATTATAGAATTGATACCTGAAATATATACCTTTTACTTAGCAACAAACTAGACGTATTGTTTTGTGATCATCAAGTGGTTACATAATTATACAACACTTACAACATTTAAGTGAGGTTTTTTTATCTCCACTACGGAATTTGTAAATACAGCTTTACTTTTTCAGACATCTCATATTATGTAGTGTCTGTATTTAATTTTGTTATTTACGGTGTTTTGAAGATTTCGCAGACTTGTAATTATATACCAAAGAAATTGGTCATAAATATCAGATTTTATAACATTGAAATAATAGTAGATAGAGGATGAAAACAGTGGAAATCAATATCGTTAAATTTTATACACCCTATAATCTGATTTAGTTGAAATTGTATTTGAAATACGTATAGGCCTACATTAGCTATTTTAAATAAATATTTTAAACCTTTGTTTTCTTTGAGTTATATGAAAGAAACAATAGTCGTAATTGTCACAAAATATATATTATTAAAAACTTGTATGTACTATATATGCATTTATATATATATATGTACATATATATATATATATATATATATATATATATATATATATATATATATATATATATATATATATATATATATTGATATATGCATGTATGTAGGCCTATACATATATATCTTCAGGAGAGCAATAGCTTTGCTGGTGGTAATAAATTTGGATGTTTTGAAAAAATTACGTTGTAAGCCGAGATACCTTGAACTCACCAGATGGAAAATCAATTATCGATGAGCTTACAGAGAACGTGGATGAGTTGTACGACCTGCTTCAACAGGGTTCGTTTGGTTATTGATTATATTGTGGTTTTATTTGTTTCATATACTATGATTAGTTACATGTAATAAGTTTGATTTGGCTCTTATTATTTTACGTTTTATAAGCATGGAGTCATGTTTGATAATTACGTCATTTATGAAATTGTAATGTAAGCGTCCAAAGACTGACAAATTATTTTTTGTGGGAAATATTTTAAGGGAATGATGTAGGCTATTCATGCTTCCAATCGAATTTATAACCAATGTATATTTACAACTTTCTTGTTCTATCTTTACAGGTGTTGCTGTTGATGTCTTGGAGACTAAAGTTTAATGCCTGCAGAGTAAAGCTAAAAACTACTTAGAAAACAATGGCATTATTGGTGAGTTTTTGAAATAATTTCATCATCATGTTGTCCCGTTCGTTCCCAAAACAAATAGTGTATTGAAGTAGAGTCCATCTGTTTCACTGGGCTCGACATAATTGTGATCGTGTGGTCAGTATTATGGGCAATCGTCCTTGTTTCCCTAACGTGAATTAGGTACCCATCAGAGCTGAGTGGACTCAGGGAACTCCTACAGACTCAAGCCTGAGATCCGAACTCGAGACTTTCCGGGTAGCATTCTAGCGCTCTACGACACGGCCACACCGTCCCCTTTAAAATAATACACCCACAACAAATCACAATAATAAATTCTTCATTAAAAACTCCATTCAGTATTTCCAGTTCCTGATGCTGATATCGTCGAAACCCTTCTGGACGTGTCTGGAAGTGTTAATGACACTGGCATTGCCGCGGCCATCTTTGAAGGTAAACACACAACTCATTCGCTAAAAGATTTCCGACAGTGCATTTGGTATCATGTCGATCCCTCTTAACTGTGTTGGTAGTCTCACTAATTATAGCAAACCCGGTGTGTGTTACTTTTACTCTAACCCTGATTATTGAACCCTGATTTCTCATTAAGTTAAAACCATATTTGTAAACCCCATGTCTTCTCACGTTAAAGGACCCGTAGCATATGAATCCAGAAGAACAATCAACAGTATGTTAATGTTCAGGGCGCTCATAGACCAAGCTGCAGAAGAAAAAGGTATTTCTCATGTCAACAGAGGCGTAGCGAAGGGGGGGGGGGGGACATATGTCACCCTATGGGCGCCAAAATGGGTTGAAAAAAAAATTAAAAGCTCATTTTAGATGCAGTTTTGAATTATAAACATAAAAAAAATATAGGGTGGGGCCGCCTCTGAATGTTAACAATTTTGGTGTATTATCCAACAAAAGTATTCATGATATTTGGTTCACATATCGGTTTTTGTATGTAGTTGAGCTCTTATTTAATACAAACTATTTTTCACCAATTGTATACGTTTTTTTTACCACCAGCGAAGCATCAGGCTAAAACTTACAATCAACTCAGAATAATAAATACATTTATATGTAACTTCACTATGTCTATCGACATGTAACCAATGAATTCAGACAACTGGAATGTCGGTGCTAACTACGACGTAGGTAAAGGTGCACTAGGTGGAAGTTTGGTATACACTAATAAAAACTTCAGTGCCCGAGCACAGGTAACTTGAAGCTTGGCAGGTGGATTTGGTGGAGGCATTGGCTTATCCTACACGTTCGGATAAATCACTGAAGGCATTGGCTTATCTTACACGTTCGGATAAATCACTGAAGGCATTGGCTTATCCTACACGTTCGGATAAATCACTGAAGGCATTGGCTTATCTTACACGTTCGGATAAATCACTGAAGGCATTGGCTTATCTTACACGTTCGGATAAATCACTGAAGGCATTGGCTTATCATACAAGTTCGGATAAATCACTGAAGGCGTTGGCTTATCTTACAAGTTCGGATAAACCACTACAGGCATTGGCTTATCTTACACGTTCGGATAAATCACTGTAGGCATTGGCTTATCTTACACGTTCGGATAAATCACTGAAGGCGTTGGCTTATCTTACACGTTCGGATAAATCACTGAAGACGTTGGCTTATCTTACACATTCGGATAAATCACTGAAGGCGTTGGCTTATCTTACAAGTTCGGATAAACCACTACAGGCATTGGTTTGACTTATACGTTCAGATAAATCACTGTAGGCATTGGCTTATCTTACACGTTCGGATAAATCACTGGAGGCATTGGCTTATCTTACACGTTCGGATAAATCACTGAAGGCATTGGATTATCTTACACGTTCGGATAAATCACTGAAGGCATTGGCTTATCTTACACGGTGGGATAAATCAATGAAGGCATTGGCTTATCTTACACGTTCGGATAAAACACTGAAGGCATTGGCTTATCTTACACTTTCGGATAAATCACTGAAGACATTGGTTTTCTTACACCTTCGGATAAATTACTGAAGACATTGGCTTATCTTACACGTTCGGATAAATCACTGAAGGCGTTAGCTTATCTTACCCGTTCGGATAAATCACTGAAGGCATTGGCTTATCTTACAAGTTCGGATAAACCACTACAGGTTTGGTTTATCTTATACGTTCAGATAAATCACTGGAGGCATTGGCTTATCTTACACGTTCGGATAAATCACTGAAGACGTTGGCTTATCTTACACATTCGGATAAATCACTGAAGGCGTTGGCTTATCTTACACGTTCGGATAAATCACTGAAGGCATTGGCTTATCTTACACGTTCGGATAAATCACTGAAGGCGTTGGCTTATCTTACACGTTCGGATAAATCACTGAAGGCATTGGCTTATCTTACACGTTCGGATAAATCACTGGAGGCATTGGCTATCTTACATGTTCGGATAAATCAATGAAGGCGTTGGCTTATCTTACAAGTTCGGATAAACCACTACAGGCATTGGTTTATCTTATACGTTCAGATAAATCACTGGAGGCATTGGCTTATCTTACACCTTCGGATAAATTACTGAAGGCATTGGCTTATCTTACACGTTCGGATAAATCACTGAAGGCATTGGCTTATGTTATACGTTCGGATAAATCACTGAAGGCATTGGCTTATCATACAAGTTCGGATAAATCACTGAAGGCGTTGGCTTATCTTACACTTTCGGATAAATCACTGAAGACATTG